AAATAAACACCTCTGTTACTTACTTGGTCCCTTGACAAGAACCTTGAGCTCCCCACTCCCAGCTCCTTTAGTGAACACCTTGAATCCTGCCACCTCCTTCACCCTGAGTCCCTTTGGCTGGAGGCCTCGGCCTGTGGCTCGGCAGGCATTGGGGTTGCAAGCTGGCAGGGAAAAGTCACAGACACAGTATAACTGAAGGCCATCTGACACACACTGCAGTCTGATGCACTAAATCCAGAGGTAGCTGTTAGTTTGTAGGAGCACGAAACATTATCACGGAGCAAAAATTAAAACCGTGAACCCAAAACATTTCATCAGGAAAGGGGAGGACGTGGGGGCAAGATATTTGTTTCTTTGTGAAACCATAAGCTACAAAAAAGCAAACAAGCAGACAAAAAAACGGAACAAAACAGTGCAACGGCTTTATGCGTCACTTGGCTAGAACGAGCATTTAAGAGAAGCCATTTCATATGGCCTTGACTACAAGCAGCCAAGAATGTACCAAGCATCAAAGAGTTAATGCAGATTCTGGTCACATACAGAATTTAAAGAGTTTAATTGCTATTTGAAAAGGTTTCACTTGTGTTTCCCTTCTAGTAAACAGGAGCAGCAATTAGTTTGCTCAGATGCACTAAATACCTTGAACTCAAAAATTCAGAAGGAAGCTATTGTAGATGACTCAGATGTGGACAAGAAAAATACGCTCTTCTGTTTTAAACATTTTACCTATTCTCTTCTCACTGACCTGACATTAATTTAGTTAAAATAAATCAAAAGAATTAGAAACAGAAAATGTCTTTTATAGAAATAAGCTCTGGCAATATAGACAAGTGAATCATACACAACTGCTAAGTCCTTTGGGGCAAAAAAAAAATACTAGAAAAACAAACTCTAAAGTGGTGGCAGTCAATGTTGGCTCTTGAGATTTGTAGCTGCTGGCACTTTCCATACTTTAAAAAGGGAAAGAAAGTGTATTTTCCATCTGGTCAAATCTGGCAGTGAAAAAAACCATTAACATCAGCTCACTTAAACAATTTTGGATTGCTGATAAACAAGTCTGTATATGTGTGTGTAAAATGTGCGTGGCCTATTTCAGAAAGCTTATTCAAAGCAAGTACTGACTAAATTAAAACACAAGTCTATTTATCTTACAGTTTATGTGAAAATAAGATGAGAATCTTAAATGTGACACTGAACCAAATCAAAACAGTAATCAGACAAAATCTTGCAAAACAATGTTAATGATAGCTGAATTAAAAAAGGCATATCTATGCATATTAAACCTTCCATGAAATTGCTATTAACAAACCAAGATAACAGTGGCATTCTGCGCAAGCAACATTAATATTCAGCATCATGATCTTCTTACAGCAGTGGAATCAGACAAAACACGTTGGATTAAGAGACACGATGTTCCCTATGTAATGAATTAACATTTCACAATCCAAAAGTCTGAAAAGCAATTTTAACATTAATTCAAAATATCAACAACCCAAAAACAATAAAAAGTTATATAAATTAGAATAGAATGCAATTCTTGTTACTAAGATTTATTATTTTATTTAACCAAATTGGAATAGTTTTTATGTACCTTTTAATAAATCCTCAAATATATTGTTAAAGGTATGATTTTACATTTAGTATTTTTACTTTTCATAACTACTCTAGTAGTCCATCTAAAACTGTTATTGAAAATACTTCTCAAACCTGATGATGCTATACAGTACTGTACACAAGGGGAAAGAAAAAGAATATTGCACAAACCCACTGAGAAAGTACTGGCTGTAAAAGTCCTTATACTCTAACTTCTTACTTAATCCATTTATTTCTCCCTTCATTTTAAACAGTAGTCCTCACTACCCAGATAGATTATCTTACTTTGAAACTTTACATCTGACACACTTCCTGTTAATGCTATATTGCTGCAGGTCCAGATTCTTCTCATGCTGTATTTGCCATTAAATCACTACTCCTACAGAGTCTGCACCCTTGCACAGCAATGCAGCTTTGAGGGGCAATGCAGAAAAGTGCTTAAAAAGCCCCTTAACGTACTGCCTGAGACTGTGGGACAATTGTACAGATTGGTGGATAGGAACTTACTGAAGAGATACTGTAAGTATAATTCAGATACAGCCATGATAAACTAATGACACCAATTTAAAATACATTTTCACTCCTTTTTTGCTCAAACACTTTTAAGAAGGCTTTCTGGAACTATTTCCCTTGGAAAGTTTACGATGTCAAGCTAAAAGATAAAATGGATAATTAGAGAATAAAACACAATTGAAAACAATGAAGGACAAGTGAATTTCTCCTTTTATCTTGAAGGCATTTTAGGATTAACAGTTACTAAATGGTCAATATCTTTATTATATTGTGCAGTATATGAAAAGGTAAATACATAATGTTTAAATTTAGGATTTAGGATTGTCAGTCATTTTTTATCGCACATGGCTCCAGTTTGGAATCGCTAATTGTCTCATCTCGTAACTGTTGTACCTACAGAAGAACTAGAAAGGACGGGGGGGGGGGGGGGGGAATACTCTGACCCACCTACCCACTGCACCACTCAATTTTTGATACACTACTAGCTCTGCAGAGACATACAGGAGGGTTTTGTGCCCTTTGGCGCAGTACCATCCCTCACTAACATCACTGTGAGGCCTGTATGCCCCAACATGTGGGGAAATCCTACTCACAGTTGCCCAGTGACAAGCCCAGACTTAAACTCACAACTTCAGTCTACAAAATTACATTGCAATAATGAGAAGTATTGAATTAATGTTAAAATGTCCATCCACACATTAGAAACAAGTATCAGATGCTTTTGGCATTGTTAAAACACAAAAATGCATCTTTATATTGACATTTTTCATACTGAAAGCTGTTCTGAATAGTACTACAGAAGGCAAAGCTCCAGTGCATGCCAACAAGCTTTGAGGATGTGAAATCCAGAATCGGGCCAGACTTTACACAGGCATGAGCCACACCAGAGGCCTGTACTAACTTGGTCGCCTTGGTTTGGGAGGAGTTGGGGGTGGGACTTTCTTTGGCTTTTCAGTTGGCGGAGTGCAAATTGACTGAGGAATAATCTGAACCGGAGACCCAGCTGGCTGGGCAGATTGTGGAGCTAGAAGGACAGACAGGCAAGAGATGGAACAGGATTTCACATATTGTAGGCGACAGCTGAATATGGAAAGCTAAGGAAGTGCTGAAGAGAAATCCTGCATGATGTATCGTTCCAGTAATGTTCATTCTTTTGTACTGTACATGTGAAGAAACGTCTGCAGTGTATGTAAGCTTCACAGCTACAGCTCTGGATGCCTTGCTTGAAAACGCATTTCTTGTTACTTGTGTTCTGTGTACAGTATGTGGGGAAAATGAACCCCAATCTTTACTCTCTTGGCAGCTGAACAAATAAATCATTATTGTAGTTTTTGGTGTTTTATAGAAGATTTTGCACTTTACAAATAATAGGGCTTGCAGACTTTTGTCCTTATAAAAAGTGAGAAACGTGTTATTACAGTATATTATGAATCACATTGATTTTATTAATCATTATGTGACGATTTTCATCAATCATAATTCATCATTATTTTTTTGTTGTTAGGTGTTTTTGCTGAATAAGGATACAGATTGGCCTTATTTGGATTTATTTTACAGTTTGCAAAGGGTCTGCAAGTTTTATTCTAAGACTCATGTCCATCATTGTTAAAAAAGAGCAAGCATAAGGTTTAAGCAATACGCATTTCTGGAAAATAGTATCCTACCACCAAAATCACATCATACCAATTTTTCTTTATTAGCATTCAAATACATATATTATCCTATGCGAAACTTTTTCAAGAGGTTAGAAAAGGAGAAAAAGAGAAAGCAAGTGCAAGGAATTATATCTATGAAATTCATATGTGATATACTGTATGATTCCCCTTAAATACCACTGTACATTCATTTGTGTTAAGCAGCCTATTCAGCAAAGCAAATATCCTGTGCAAGCAATTACATTTTACAAAGCAAATCTATTTAAAAGGCCCCTCAAATACGTACCTTCTGAGATATGAACCGTGTAGGGACTTTTTGGAATCTGAGCTCCAGCAAATGTAACATAGATGTTATGCGGTCCCTCCAGAATGGGACGGTAAGTACAGCGAAAAATGCTATCGCCCTTGTCTTCCAGAATGACTTCTACAGTGTCACGACGACCCTGGGGATCCACAATGACAACCCCCACATCTCCTGCTCCAGCACCTTTAGGAAACAAAAGGGCAAAAAATACCAGGATGTATATCAGAGCAACACTGACATTGACCCAATTAAGACAGCTGCCAAAAACAAACTTTTTTTAATTAGGTTGGAAGAGTCAAATGAGTTGAACACATTGCACTGTACCTGCCGTGTAAATGTCAAAATATGTGGGCTTGTTGGCCACATTGCCAACAGGTTCCAAACCAGGCCCTCGAGCAGAAACTTTGTTGGGGTCTCCCAGTGCCATAGAAACATTGACCATGAAGGGGCTCTTGTCAATATTCTGGCCAGCAAATAGAACTGTCACCTGAAGAAACAGCAGTCAGCAGTCAGCAGCCAGCAGTCAACTCCAAGCTTGTCTTCATTTTAAGTAAACATTTTGGCCTTGATATTTTGTACTGTCAAAGCATTGCAGTGTCATGAGTGTGATGATTATGCCCAAAACAAAACTGTAAAGATATCTTTTTTTATTTTCAAGTATCTGAACAATATCCTCACCCTGATTCTCTGAGTGAAAGCAGTGACATTTTAATCTGTCTTTTTCATCGACCGTATTAATTTTATTTGGAATTAATGCTCAAGGCCATCAAGAGTGGTTTGTACATATGATTTAAGCTAGTGATTTTTCACCAGTATGAAAGCCTTATCAGACCCAATTAAGACCCCAAAGACCATGTACTGTACAGGTATATACAGTAATTATTCCATGAGTCATATATACAGTACATAGCAAAAAGTATATAATGAAAAATGCCAATGATCATAACTACATACCTGGGCAAATAAAAAGCACAGACAACTAGAAAACTAAAAGTATGTGTGAAAACAAATACACGAATTACATAATTATTGTACCAAAATGTATGCTGATCTGATTGTAAGATATATGACTAGGCAACTCTAAACTTGTGTATTTATTTACTTTACTGTCACAATGCTTGGCCTATGGAAAACATGTATACATTCATCATTGTTGGATACGTTAAACATCCATACCTTATGAAGCCCAGCAACCTTGGGAACGTATGTCACAGAATAGGTCCTGTTTTTGTCATTGTTGGCAACAACTCTGGCCTTGAAATTTGAAATTAGAAAAGAAAAATAAATCAATTTAATTGATTGCTATTTCATATTTTATTCAGATCATTAGAGCAAATGTCATGCACAAAAATATATTTTTTAAAATTATGAAGATTTCAAACGATTGCTGCCTACAGTACATGACCATTGTTCATACCTCCTCAGTGTGTCCTTCAGGGTCTTCCACATAGACAATCACCTCTCCAAGCCCAGCTTCTATGGTCTCTACCGTGAACTCAGCAGGCTTCAGCACAACATTACCATGGGGCTCAATACCTACAGAAGGACACATATATCCAGTCATCAGCATAATCTGCTGTCAAACAAAAGCAGCAAAATCCTCCCTCCTGCTACAAAAAACATCCATAAAACCAAACTTAGAAATTAACCAGAAATGAATGAATAGTGACATGATGGAAATTTTGTTCAGAAAGGTGGTACAAAACCACTGTAATTTGTCTATGTCAAATACAATTTTTTAAGCATTAATGAATGTGAAACCACAAAACTGCCTCTAATTATGCATGTAACATATGATATGTGTTCAGTGATGCTTTACTTCCTTCAAATATTCTCATACCTGGTCCATAGGCCTTTGCCTTCTTGGGGTTGAGTTGTTTGGACCTCAGAGGAGCCCCTGGTTTAAGCTTGGCTTTGGGGAACTGAGACAGGTAGGTCATGACTGAATGTTCATCTACATTGGGGTCAACAATCTCTTCTGGAGCAATCACCTAGATGGAGAAAAAGAGGCATACAGTACTGTATGTAAGGTACAAATGACAACACTTTGGCCTGCTGAATTAAAATTAAATAGAACTTTTCTTTAATTCCCTATCGATTTCTTTCTCTGTTAGAAGGAGCCACATTGAGAAAAAAAGGTTATTTATATTGTGAAACATCGCTAAATGCTTTGCAAACACAAACAACAGACATATAATGAGAAAATCTGACTCCCATTAAAATAAATCAATATGAGAAGATGAAATGACCCAGTGGCTACAAAGGCCAAATTTAATTGACTTCAAATTAGGTCTAATTTATTCTGTTGAAATTTAAATTGTGTTTTCTGTTGTTTTCAGAAAATCAGGGAAAAAATCACGAGAAAGCAATTCTTTTAGGGGTTAATTAAATAAGTCTGAAGGGTTGTGGCAGCCCTCAACTCCCCTTAGTTAACACAAAAATGAATGTTTTTCTCTGAGGAGAAGGGTGCTGCTTCAGCTTTGAATGACTGAAGATAAGGCCTAATGGAAATTTGAAAGATGACAAATAAAAAAACAATTTCTGCTTCATTTTAAAATCTTATAATATACGTTTTTACCTTCATTTCACTTAAAGTTAATCATAATTCCATGTTTAAAAGCAAATGAAAGATTGAAACAACATTGTGACTATTCAGACTTCTTTAGAAGATAAAATCTTCAGAAGTCCCTATGGTCAAAGTATTGTATATTTCACTCTCTTCTTTTTGCTTTCAACATGGAATTAATCTCTACTTGTTACTTTTTAACAGTTTTAAACAAACGTTTGGGAGGTGGTTAAAAAACTAATCTTGCGTACTCCTGCTTACTATGTACAAATATCTTGCTTCATGCCTATTTGCTTGTCCATTTTGCTTTTACTGTACTGTATATCCCTGCCTCCACCCTGTCTTTGCCCTTGCAGTTGGTCACAGACACATCCCTCATTAAAAGCCCTGTCCTTACAGATGTGTAGTCACTATTCTCAGCTAGGTGAGTTATAAAGCTCATGACTGGAGTCATGCCTCTTATCCTCTTAAATTGAGGTTTCTGAACTCATTACAATGGCATTAAAGCAACATGAAACATAGCTAGCTAAAAAACTTATTTTGTTGCTCTTCATATTCGAAAGGGTAGGTTCACGGATCACTGTGTACATGTGCTCATAATCACTGAATATATGGTTTTATATTTTTACATGAAAAGAGGCCAAGCTAAACAGATTCACAAGGTTTTTTGTTGGAAGATCAAAAGTCTTCTTGTTGGTAATCCCTGTACACAGATAAGATGTTGGTTTTTTCTATTTATAACAGTGATTGCTGTGCTACCAAGCTACTCAAAATAGAATGGCATTTAACATGCCTTCAGAATGAGCCACCACTCTCCCACCTAGTTGACACTGACAGGAAAATTAAACCTCATTCAGACAAGACATTCCACGGACCCCATGACTCAGGCCTAACACAATTTCTGCAATGCACTAATCCTCTAAAGAGGGATTCTTCTACATCACTTCTCACCAGTTATACAATTTTCCAGTACAAAGCTAAGACAAATGACGGTCTTAATATACAGCACAACACTGTATATCTATCTATGTATCTATATATAGAAATGCTCTTCTTGGATAAATAAAATGTAGTTTTGCCCAACACTTGTTTTTTTAAAACTCATTAACAAGAGATTGAATATTGTAGAATACAGATTTATGGGGTTATAATAAGTTAAACTGGAATTTTCACTTGTCCACAGTGCATTTTCAAGGGGCAGCTTTTTAGAGAAAAAAGCAATGGTGAGTCTGTGCAGAATATAAATTTGCTTGCAGCTGGACTTGGATCAGTCTTGGAAAAGTAAAGTGTTGAATATCAAAACAACCTCTGCTCTAACTAATCCCCTACCCACCTAAATTAGGGCAACATTAACTGTGAGAATACTCTGAAATTCAGCTTAGCTTGCACATCATATTTAGACGCTCACTGTCCCTAAGCGTTAGGTATTAAATAGTGTGTTAAAAGTATTCCAGGCGTGGTACTCCATACTGTAGACTACTCTACAGGTTACAATGAAAGATTCTTGACAGCAGAGACAACTAGTACTGCATTTTTATCCACTTGGTTTGTTCCAATTATTTTTATTTTACTTGTTCCATTGAGATTTTTTTTCTATTCACCAGCACTACTGGTCAAGGGAAACATAAAATAAAATAAGCACTTTCCTTTATCTTGGCACTTACAGTATCTGTACTGCAGTTTTGTAAGCTCTGTACATAATATTAATGTACAGTATATGATACACAAAGAGTTGAAAAGGGACTGACCTCTAACCACTAATTCATACTGAATGAATAACAAGGGCAAATTCACACAGCTCCCAACATTACTGCTCCGTCCTAATGGATTAAAACACACCTGAGGCACACCCAGCCAGTCATCAGCCTGCTGCATGGCTTCTCTTGCATTCTCCACAGGCTGGTTAGGATCCCAGGTTTCCCAGTCAGGGCACAGACCTGCAGGGGAGACACATGAATGGTTGTTATTGAAAAGACTCTGACAAATGACAACGTACAGTATCTGATAACATACTGGGAAAACAATTAAAGATGATTAGCTTATGCCAAGTTCTACAAATGTCACCCCTTCTGGTTGCCAGATTAAAGCAACAATGCACACCACAACCCTCCAAGGATAGATTGGTGACTAAAAAGGGAAGGATGGTTATTCTTTTATACTTGCATACTATGCAAGGAGTTTTCCCACAGTTTCAACAGCACAGTACTTCTAGGATGTGAGTTATCTAAGAATATACAGTATAAAAGTAATTCCCAAATTGAGTTAGCAATATGCGACATGGTGTACTCTTCTCTCACTAAGACTGGGGCACCAGTATATTGACAGGTTTAATTATTCCTGCATACAGCTTTCACGTCAGGTTTGAGCCAAAATAAAATGTAATTACAAAGTATGTATTTTAGATAAAATCCCAATAATTGTAGAAACTAGAACTTCAGGAAATAAATTGGAATTTGGGATAATTGTTAATTATTCACTCAAATAATTAAATACGACTGAGGATCAGCTATACCAACATATCCTGGCTGATTTGAACATAAATCAAAAAAAAAAAACACTTCATGTATGAAACTGGGCTTCAGCTCAGTCTAATTATTTTTTATTAGCCTCTCTGTTTTGAAACTAGCAATTGTCATTTAATTAATACAATACAGTGCATTGCAGAAGAGTTCAGAGCCATGCAGTTTTCACATTTTTGTTCTTTTTTTAAAGCTGAGTCATGACATTTTGAAGTAGAAATTCGTATTTGTTACGTGCACTACCTGCTCCACACACTCAAAGCAAAAAACAAAAAGAACTGAGCAGATATGAAACAACAATGGAAAAGTCATGATTGCATAAGTATTCAACCCTTTCGTTGTGGCTAGCCCAAAGTATTTTAGGTGCACAAAATTCCATTAACCAACCACACGAATGACCTGTTTGTGTGCAATAACAGTTGTTCCTGTGATTTCAATATAAATACTATAAGGTTCCATCGTTGCTAATGTACATTCCATTGTTACCATAGTACTTCAATACAACCAGAAAGCAGTTGGATGAATAAAAGCAATTTGAACAATGAACACCTAACTAAATGTTAAAGACTGTACTGACATCTTCAGCTATTTCATGAATTATATACTGCACATTGAATAAAGCAAGAATATGAGCTACTAGAGGAAAGCTGCTGAGAGTACTGTATAAGATGCTTTTTGTACCTACAGTAATTTATTTTATGGACAGGGACCTGAATGAGGCACAGAAATGACCTCTTTGAGGAGGACTCATGAAGAAAAGAAAGACACTTCAATAAACACCTGAATCCTACACTTGTTGACACTGTTATGTTCTGTTTTTTATTATATTGTTTACACTGTCCTGATTATTGTTGTTCTTCTTACACTTGTCTTCAGTGCAACAATGATAAACTGTAAGCCTCTTGAACAGGTCTCTCCAAATGAGAAGTTGCTCTTTAATTATTTATTCAATTAAACATATAATTATAGTAATCAAAGATTATTATAACACAGCTTTTTATATACATGTATAAATTAAGGAACTATTGGGGATTTTTTCTATTTTTGTGTAGTTTGTATTTTCAACTAAAATCACAAGAATATGAAACTTTTACTCAGGAAAAAATAAATTTGGCAGCAAACATTATAGACTCCACATATATCACATATAACTTATTTGTTACCAGTTTATAAAACCACAATTAATTTAACTGAAGTGCCTGCTATAAAAAATGCAATGTTGAATAATATACCAAAATTAATCAGACAACAAGCCATTCCTGTCATACTACAGTATGCCATGTAATAGTAGAAATGGTCAATCTTGTCCGCAGAAACTGATATAAAAACAGAAGTTAAGAATAGATTCTGCCTATTGATCTGTGAGATGCCAAGAATATTAAACTGGTAGTGCAAGGATTCAGCAAACTTAAACTATTCATTCAATATGTCTCCAATATATATGTTGGATATCATACTAAGATATTAACAACCTGCCTGTATTACCAATGTATTTACTAATTTATCACTCCTTTTAATTTTTCTATACCAAACTGCAGTTAAACTGTACCATTTTTATTTTATTAATGTTTTTATTTAAGTACAAAATTGACCAATTGTCCTCTATTATAATAATGCTCTGTTCTATCTATGAACTATTGTCAGTTTTGAATAGTTGCTTAATTCATCTGGTTTAGTTTAAGAAAAATCCCATGGTATCAAGATTTTAGAATTCAGCACAAAAAAGTTTATAACCACAACAACCTCAGGTTACCTCTGAGGCCTCTGATGCCTGAGTACTCACTATAGAGAAACTGATACTCTCTGGAAGTAATGGAGGATTTTTTTAATGACATTTAATAATGTTTAGGAAGATTACACTCAATTGCACAGAAGTCCTTTTACCATAAAGCAGGAAATTGAAATATTTTTCCCAGCATAATGTTAATCTCCACATGCACCAATGGCATAGGCAAACTGTGATCAGAACCTTATATTCTGTTCATTTCATCCTCATTCCACCACATCTCCTCTCCTCTCATAAAATACTCTGCATTCTGCTTCTCTCCCCACCCCCTTCTGACTTAAATGTCATTTTTAATGAGTCACAGGCAATGGTTAGGTTAGAAGCCAAAGGTCACAGACTATAGAGGTTGGGTGGGAAGTTTCATGTTGCACGATTTTTTTTAAGCAAAAGGCTGTGGCACGTTGGGCATGCAGTGCATTACCTACACAATCTGCATACCCAGTTCACAAAACCAATCATTAATTGTTTGAATTTCTTCCATGATAAATGGCTAAGAATTGTGTTTCATGGTGAATTTACTAAGAATTCTCATTCTGCATCCCAACTGTTAACTTTTGTATCCTGCAGTGCACAGTTGTATTGTACTAAAATTTCCAATTCCCCAGACATACAACAAACCAGTTGAGGAAGTACCAGTAAAGACATGTGTGTGAAACATGCCAGCCCTTTCTGGTCTGTTTCTGCTCCACACCACACATAGAACTGAGTGTTAACTCTGAAGTCGGTTCACCGCTATATCAGCAATCATATACTATTATTGAAAAATGTACTCAACTTGCCCTATGTACTTATAAAAGTCTTAAATATGAAGCACCCACCCATTTTTTGCTTGCTGTTAAAAATGTTAGCACAAACAATGTTAGAAATAGTAATACTGCCAGTATACAATAATTAAGAAAAAAGAAAAAATGTTGCAGTTTATCACAGGATGCATTACAGACTGCATGAGCTTTGCAAAGGAGTCAAGCACAGAGTGACTCTAAACTGTTTAAACTGCACCATCTAAAGATAAAATTTATTTTTACTATTATGTCCAAGAATGTAATTTTTATTGAAAAAAGTAATCAATGCAAACTATTCATTAGGTTGATAAGGTAACAATAACAAATCTCAGTGGTAACCTAAGGTTGTTATAAATATCTTGGTGCTAAGCACAAAAATCTGTATAGCAAAAGACTTTAGAACAGTGGAAGTCTTGTGAAAGGTCTTAATTTATTTCCTTGTAAATAAAAAAGAAAATGTAGTTGAACAAATTATTTAATTCCCTTACTATACAAAAAAAAATGCTCCCGAAGTGTCCCTTGTACACCATTAACTGTTCCTCTTATAGGTCGTATTAAGGGTTTTATAGTTTTCTTCATCACTTTCAGTTACTATTTAGTGGCATCCTACAAATGAGGCTTTCATGTGGTTAGTGTTGAGTTTTTTTATGAGTAAATAATGGCAGGAGTTGTACCTCAGGGCCTTTCTGTTTCCAGACACAAGGAAGGCTCCAGGCAAACAGAGCTCAGAGAGCCCCAGTCCTACATAAGTTCACCATTAGTTTAACAAACGGGGCTTGTTTTTATTGTTTATTTGCTTGTTTTACAAGGTGATGGTTAAAGGAAAATTCCTGAAGGAATGTCATGGGTCTCTTCCTGTCCTCTCCTTGTTTAATTTTTTATTGCTTTTGTTTTGTCTTTTATCAGAGGGATGAAACTGCTATAATATTTGAATGCACCTCTGGCATGCCCTAAAACTGTTAGCCCTTTGGTCACTAACATTCTACACATATCCTTTGATATACTGTAAGCAAAAGAAAAGGCAAAGAAGAAATAAACACAGAGATACTGTATACTGTAACCTTTTGTTAAAAGTGTTTATGCAAAAATCATAAAAACAATAATCAAAAGCTGCATGAAGTAGATAACTTTTTAAATTTTAGAATTCTTAAAAATGTATAACTTCATAACAAATACGAAGTTTACTAGGATGTGTTGTCAGTTTTCAGAAGTGCATACTTGAAGTGTATGATTTAAAAATGTCAGTTATTCCGTTAGATCCTAATAAATTCAAGAGAGTTGATAGGCGGAGCATGTTTGACATTCAGCAGCTTGCCTGGGTGGGGGAATAGTCAGGCTTACCAGAGGGGCAAGACTGTCTAGATGCTCACCCCCTCCCCCTCAGTATTGCAAGGACTGGGGTAAGAGAGAAATGCAGTATGGGAAAGCCTGGGTGCAAGAGTTATATACTTCCGTGAGAGGAAGTGTGCGAGGATCCAACATTCCTCCCGAACAACACTATTTGTAGGTCTCTTAAATGGATTTAATAACGTTACTAAATCATTTTAAGATATCTCTACATATTTAAAGGTTTCTTAATCAATAAAGTATCTATCTTAAAATTATTTAGACATATCTGAAAAATCGGAATTTGGCAATTTGAAATTTGACTAGAATTGTTATACATATAGCTCTGATTTCACTCTTGAATGTAACTGTGATAAAATATATTTTAATAACAATAATGTAAAAAAAGCATTTTAAAAGACAACTGTAACCAATTACAGCTACAAAAAGAAAGATTACAGAAAGGAACAAGTATCAGGCCCTGTGTTTCTCAAGTCAATACTGTAACTAGAAAACTTCTTAATTAAAGGATTTACAATGCAAACTAAATTAAGTGTCCAACTAAATTTTCTTTTTCTATTTACTAAGCACTGGGTCATGGATTAAATAGAACACACACAGTTAATACAGTATAATATTTTTGGCAATCAATGGTTAACTAAGCTTTATGCTTTCATTCTGTTCAGTTTCAAAATATTTTATCCCTTTAATCATCATTGCATACTGTACAATCAAACTGTTTTATTGCCCAGAAGGTGAATGGCATTGGAACAAGTTAATTTGTTCTTTTCAACAATTGAGCTATTGTCCATTATTAACTGCAATGTCCCTGCCCATTTCCAACACATTTCAGCACTTCCTGTCGAATGAGGAAATACAGTATATTAGTTGACACAATAATTTTTCCTTTTGCTCATAAAAAGTCCTGTATAAATGTAACAAATAAAACCATCTTAGGCCATTGAAACCTCAACAGCACCACCGTAGTCAGAAACCTGATTATGACCAGCCTTGCAGTCACCACTATAAAAGAACAAACAGGACTTCGGGATATCGTGCCTGACCTGGAGCACAGTTGTCCACCAGTGCTCCCAGAGCCTTGCCGTCCTGCCAGTCTCGGTGAAAGTTGGTGATGGGCAATTGTGGGATCTTGTTCTGGATCCATCCCAGCAGCCTCTGCTTTGGTGTCTGCTTCTTGGCATCCTCGTCATCCTCGTCCTCCCACATAGGCATGGAGATGGAATAGTGCAAGATGAGGGTCCATATCAGGCCCAGAATTAGCTTCAGGTTCCCATCCACAATGGCTTTGCTGTCTGTCAAGAGGAAACACACGCACAACATTACAGCTTAATGTTTGAGAAAGAGATATTATGAGCTAAATGAAGGCTTCAAAGATCTTCCGCGATATTGTTTAATCTCTCAATGAAACTGGGTAGGCTATACCCATTTTTAAATCATGATACAAGGATATGGAAACATCCTTAGCCTATAGTTCATTTCAAACATCTGTGCATGTATTCAGCAGTCCACAAATATTCTGTATTATTTTATCCTGTATTATTCTGTAATATCCTGTTTGTTGTCAAATGTTCATGTGATTGGACATTAAATAGGGGGATCACTTAAATTTTTACACAGGGGCTAAGATGTTCATAATTTTTATAGTTTTATTTTATTTTTTTTAAAAGCTGCTTAACATCCATTCTCCATAACCGCTTGGTCCAATATGGGTCACAGTGTGCTAGAGCCTAGACAGGCAGATGATCCAGGCAAGGCAGGATACACACTGGTAGAGAACGCAGGACCACTTAGAGATACCTGTAAATTCACACAGCATGTCTTTGAATTGTCGGAGGAAACTGAAGCACCTGTGTGGCTGTGGAGATAACACGCAAACTCTACATAGAAGGCACCCCAGGCCAGAATGAAACCAAGGATTCAAAAGCTATGAAGCCAGAACAGTAACTATCGCCCAAGTGTTTAACAATTCTATTAAAAGTTAAAGAGATATTCAGTTGCATAATACAGGAGATCCAATGATAAGTCTCATGATTGTTGCCAACTCTTTCTGCATGGACTTTGTAAAATTTGAAAGAAGCTCTTCTCTCTGTGTAGGCTAAGAAAGGACCTGCAAAGTGGACAGCTGAGGCTGTCTAAAGGGGGTCAAGAATAACCACAATTAATGACTCATTGGTGAGCTGAATCAATAGAAATATCTGCATACATGAAGGCAGAAAAATGCTTTCTGATTAGTTCAGATTACATCTACAAATCATTGGTCAAAGATGCATTGTATCTACACTATAGTTCCACTCACTTCAAACTCTTTGATGAGGATTTTGAGTTTTTAACATGAGTCTAAACGACAGATATGATCACAAAACACATGGATACAGACTCATGAAAAACACTCTGTTCCTTTTGTTTACATTAAACACACCATTCTGTTTTTATTAAAAAGGAGCACAGAAACAAGATTCATATTCAGTACCAAAAAAGGAAATACAGTATAATCAATTCATCCTGTAAGTATGCTGTTTTAGAATTTTTTTTTCATCTTGTGACTAAAACCTTTATTAGAACCCTATTTTTCATCTGAGTGTTCTACCCAGAATATGGATAAATACACTTGAAGAAATATAGTGTATACCACAGGTTTTGGATTATAATCAAGGCGAGATTACTGAAAGCTAATCACAGCTCCAAATGGCAAAATGTTATTATAGCAACAGTCAAGTAAACAAACCCAGAAGTACAGTATGAGCATTTGAGATTTATATAACCAAATATTAATAATATTCACTATTTTCAATTGTTCAACACTCACCTCCATGTTTAAGAATAACTGCCACTGTACTTACAGAACTACAGTATCTTTAGCACGTTAGTTCTTGTTGTGTATCTTAATAAAGAGCCGTTCTTATATTATTTAAACTATTTTATTAACTACAGAGATCACGCCCTTACACCATATATTCCCGCCTTCTACCCTCTCGTTCTATTGTCTCGCAATGTCTACTCACTATACTACAGTTCTCTACTGCCAACACATGCACAAGATACGAAAGAGCAATTACCATAAATGAGTCCAATAATTAAATTGATTGTACTGTATACACGTCATACTTCCAAAATACTACAAAAAAAGTGGTAGGGCTGAATAAAAGTGTTGAAGTAATTAAAATCCCCTTAATTAAAACCCTTCATCTAGGAATCATGAATTTTGTTCCAAATGGAACAAAACATTCTAAAACCATTTCTAAACTTTCTTTTCTGATAAAATGTAGACAAAGTCTGGCCACGCATTTGTAAAACTCACCTGTAATCTTTATGTGTAAACTGAGGTCTAAAGAACTTTTGACAAGATGTTATTGTAAGGTTTCTGGAGCCTGACAAACCTAATTTCATTACAAATGTCAGTGTTTTGTAGCTCAAGAAAGAAATGCAGATTTTTCTCATTATAACTTCTCTGGGGTCATCAAAATGAGTACAGTATATTAAATGCACATGAGCACACAAATAGTGAATTCATGTGCATAAACTGTAAGATTTTCCATGGGAGATCACATGGATGTGGTTTTTAATCAGGAATAAATACTGTATATATTACTTTGCATTTTAATGCTTTTTATATATTGTGCTGTACACCAATTACAAGTTCTGATAATAGGTTAAAGCAACACAAAGTAATGCATATCTTAACGGTCTTTTTTTTTGCCAACGGTGCTTGTCTGGCAATCTTTAAAAAAATGCCCTTTCCATTCAATGAGGCAACTCCCAACATGATTCTTTAGGCAAATGCAAAGCATAACTCTTTTCCTGTTTTCCTCTTTTGCCCCCTAAGCTATATGTTCCATCCAACAAAAGTGTTACAAAACCTTGAAAAGACAATGTCCCCATTTTACACACACCACAATGACCACTTATGTTTGTTTATGTTGTGGTGAATTTTATCTCTGTTTATATCTTATGAAAGGATGTGAAGTTCCCCCCTTGAGAAGGTTTTGTTGTTGTGTTTTGTTGCCAGGGAAAATAAAAAAACTGTCATTGTGCTTTTTAAGGAAAAAGAATGCCACTTTTTCTTTTCAAACATGTCAGAAAAACAATTGTATTCATAAAAAAACCACCTGACACAAAAAGAGTCTAGATTCTGATCTTTGTCAGAAAATTAATAAAGGAGTAAAAATGGGCAACGTTGGCATTTAAATAAGATTTGATGGCATCCTAGAGGACTTTTTTTTTCATATGGTCTAGGGTCCTTTTATTTCCATTGAAAAGCACAAGAAAGGATAGAAACAGGAAGAGTTCTAATCTATTGTCAAGTGGTTGTTATACAGGTAGCTAAATGATCCAAGGATCTCATTGAGCCATTTCTTGAAAGAAGCCTTTAGTGACATGGCTAGTCTCATGTAGATTTGTACTTTTACTGAGACCTTCAAAAGGGATTCAATTACAATTACATTCTAGTGAAAGAGTAAAAGTTCTCAGTGTGTGTAGAGGAATTATCTGCCCATAACAACTCACTGAGAAAGCCTTATAGTGTATAGCAATCACACAGATAAGATTGCAAGTTTTCAAAGGAGGCTAAATAAATTCATACATATAATACTGTAAAAGGAACTGGTAGAAATTTGATTAATGTTCACCTGTATAAATGAAAAGCAAATAGACTAGACGGTCTGAATGGCCTCGTTCAAAAGTTATTCTTCCAGAACTGCAGAAGTTAATTAGTATGCAGATAAAGGGGTGTTCAACCATGAAATCACTGTGATTTAGTGTACTTCATTCAACAACCATTAAGTAATGTTTGGCACTCCTGTTGTATAGCTTCTTATTTGTAACAGCTCTTTTCTGAAACAAGCTAAACATACCCAGAGTGCATAAGGAAGCTGCTTCCTTTCTGAGTTTCCTAAGCTCTTATCTAGCTACAGTCTTTCCAAAAGATAATTTCCGCCCTTTTTAAATCCTTCTTCTCTCAATAACCCCTCCACCTCGGTCTCTGTTTCAGTCCTGGATGGGAGTGAGTATAATTCCATTACCTTATCTCTCCAATAGAATTAGCAGCAAAACAACTGATTAACGCTATTCCATCTAAGCTAATTTTTTCCACTGGATTTTTAAAACACAAAGCAAGCATGTCCAAAAGAAAGAAGTTAGCTCTCCAGAATAAAGCTTAGCTTTTGTTTCAGAGACCCCCGAGACACATAAAATAACAAATTTTGGATGTGAGTAACGCAAATAATTACTTTCTGTTCTAGGTCCTGGATATCCATTGTGTAATTTCTAGAGTTATGTGTACTTCGTTAGTGTTTGACACACAAGGCCAGGCAACAAAAAAAAACACAAAATCGGAATGAAACTTTCACCTTTAATATTTATACATCAACTTCAGGTTGTGATTCCCCTACAAGATTGCGTACTAGTTAAAGATGGTATTCCAGGTCTCTTTAACTGCATTAAATAATCAATTGTATATACAGCACAAAGTTTTAATATACTTTAAATGTATTAAGTAAAGAGAATGGCTTTATCTGAATTATAAATATTTAAATGCAGCCTTAGTGATGCAGTCCTTCTTTTAAGCTTGAAAATCTTTTAGAATTTGCTTTTAAAATTACCTTAACTCCTTAACAGCTTTTCAGATTATAAAGAGTGTTACTAACTCTCTTCAGAAGTAAAACATGTGTTCCCTGCATATACTGCAGAGTTTATGGAAAACGTCATTTTGCTTCAGACATGTAATATGAATTTGTCATATACAGTAGCATGTGGTTATTAAAGGCAAATATTTGTAGATGATTTTTTGTTTTTCATAATAACTACCTTTACTAACTATTTTTACGAATATTGTATTCATTACTCACCAGAAGACTCACACAAGTTTTCCATTTATCCTAAAGATACTAAATCTGTTTTGATGTGAGAGGTTAACCACTTTATACCCCAAAATTAAGAATTACCTTCTAATAGAATAACCAGAATCTGGGTTATGAAAACACCATCTCATGTATAAACCTATAAACCTCAATCTATCCAGCATATTAATAAAGAGACAGATGCATAAGTACATAATATTATTCTGATACAAAGTACCATGAAATGAGCTTGTCCTCAACAATCCACTTTTTAACCTGTTTATCGAGTACAGGGTCAAGGGAGAGCAGGAGCGTAACCAGTAAAGCAACTGGCACAAGGCAGGATACACTCTGGGCGGGATGCCAGTCCATCACAGGGCACACACAGACACAAACACACAATAACTCACATCAGGGATAATCTAAAGTAGCTAATTAACCTACCAGTATGTCTTTGC